TATGAGATACCCCTCTCTCCATTCCAAATGCAACTCTACCCTCTCACATCTCCAGCTCAGCCTGTGCGGCTTTCCATTTTTAGGCCTGGTTCACCTCTGGGCGTTTTAAAGCGCGTTTGTGAAAACCAATGATTGCCTATGGTTCCCCACCTGGGCGCTTTACAGCGCGTAGGAACGCGCTGAAAAACGCCCTACGCCCAAAGAAGTACAGGAGCTTCTTTGGGGCGTTTTTCCGCGCATTTCCATTGGTATTCCCGAGTGTGGATCGGGGTTAACAAAGCGGTAACCCCGAGCCACACTCGGGAATACAGCGTACAGTTCTTACCTTGTCCGCGATCCCCGCTGTGTCCTCCGGCGGCTGCTGACTTACGGGTTCCGTCCCTTGCGAGCGGCCGCGTCGCAGGGGGACGGAGCCGGCGGGAAGTTTGAAAGTGAAAAAATATATATTTTCTTTTAAATAGAGAAAATAAAAACAAACAAAAAAATCATACCGTCAGTGAAACGCGCGTTTCACTGAACGAAAAAACCAAGCTAAAAACGAGCTGAAAAACGAGCAGAAAAAATACGCTCAGGTGTGTACTCAGCCTTAAAGTAATAATATAGAAGGTTTCATACTTTAGGTGGGTGCAGTAATAAAAAGTGGTGTTGTATTTCAAATAAAGGCTGCTCCAATGGAAGGGTAGTAATGCAGATGGTGGATGTTTCTGAGTTTGACTTCCCTCTTCCTCTCAGATGTGCATTTCCTTCCACTTCCCCCAGGAACACAAACAATGTGCAAATGTGTGTCCCTGAAAAGGGCAAGCAGGGGAGCTGTGGTGGAATATGCAGTGGCAGAGTTGGTAATTGGCAGAAAATGTGCAGCGTTTGGGGTGTTGGGGTTTAGTGACAGGGGTGCTGGGAGGCAGGGAGGTTCAGAGTCAGAAGTGCAATGGTAGGGATGCTGGGTTTTACATAGGGTTGTGTGCAGGCTTGGTGCAATACAAGTTCGCCCTTTGTCCTGCTACAGGCCAATTTTACACTGCTCTAACCTCTGCAGTATCATAATTGCTGTAGTATGTACTCTTTGTCTCTTATACATTTTGGGCTAATATTCCCTCATTACAAATGTTCTACTGCTGGCAAATTTTAAACTGCTGTATAAACTGTGGTCTCCTCTGTGTAGTGTGGTCCTAACTCTAATCTGTGAGAGCCTCCATCTTGGAGCATATATAGCAAAGGACAAATTGGACCACACTACGCAGAGAAGCCTTGACGAGGCAATGTTGCTTCCACATATTTTGCAAAAGTTATGCAACTAACACCTCTGTTTTTAATGCACCATACCAGGACACTTGTCCTCAACATGATGCGTCACGGTCCCCAAGTTGATGAAGACAAATGCCTCTTCCCCACAACCCTGGCCCGGTGGTTGTGGGGGTCTGCGGGCAGGGGGCCTTATCTGAATCTGGGTGTCCCCTTTCATAAAGATAGTAAATAAACATACCACACAGTTTTTGGTAAGGGATTTTGGGGCAACTCCACCCTGTGTTTTTTTTTGGCATAGGGTCCTCCCTAAAATTCCTACCAGACCTAAAGGTTCAAGAGAGAAATCCATACACTATACAGAATTTCATGAGTTTCTAATTTAGTTTAATTTCTAGTTTCAAAGCTATAACCGTCATATGATATGAATATTGTCTTTCCCGTCTGTTTGGGCTCTGATTTCATATGTAGCTCCCCATGAGTTACCATTAATAACAGCCTGTCGAGTCATGCATTCTACACATTAGGTAGCACGTTTGATTATTATTTCTCCATGATACCCCTCCCTCATTTGTCCTCCCCTTTTGTTTCTATTGATACGTTTCTTATATTTTTATTAGGCATGTTCAGATACCAAGTATTGTACTCGGTACAAGTACAGATACTTTTCCAGCTCCAAGACTAGACTAGAGAAAAATTCAAAAGTTAGGAGGCAGCTGTCATTTTTAAGGAGCATACAGAGGTCCTGGGATTTGTGCGTCCCTGGTCAAGTCAAGTCAAAGTCCTGACCTAAATCCTATTGAGATGCTCTGGCATGACCTTAAAAAGGCAGTTCATGCTCAAAAACCTTCCAATGTGGCTGAATTACAGCAATTCTGCAAAGATGAGTGGGCTTAAATTCCTGCACAGCGCTGTAACAGACTCATAGCAAGTTATCGCAAACGCTTGATTGCAGTTCTTGCTGCCAAGGGTGGATCAACCAGTTATTAGGTTTAGGGGGCAAACATTTTTTCACACAGGGCCATGTGGGTTTGGATTTGGTTTTCCCTTAATAATAAAAACCTTCCTTTAAAAACTGCATGTTGTGTTTACTTGTGTTATCTTTGACTAATATATACATATATATATTAGTCAAGTCGTGTGATTAGTTTAACCAGTTGACATCCGCGGTGTTAAACCCCCTTCCCATCCAGGCCATTTTTCAGTATTCAGCGCTGCGGTACTTTGACTGACATTTATTCCGTCATGCAGCGCTGTACTGAAATGAATTTTATACAATTTTTTGGGGACAGATAGAGCTTTCTTTTGGTGGTATTTATTCACCACCGGCGACCGCACGGGGGGGGGGGGGGGGCAGCGCGCAGG